ATATCAAATTCGATTTTTTTTTTTTACGTCAAATTCACAATGTGAATCTTTGAAAATTCACAATGTGAATTTGGATTCACACGGTGAATCCGAAAAATATTTTTCACATTCACAATGTTAATATATGAATTTAGATATTTTTAGATTTTTTTTTCGATAAAGAATAAGCTCTAGAAATTGAAAAAAAGATTTGGTTCCTTGAAGAACCAATAATTATGGTTCTCTATTGAACTTTTCCCTATATATATATTGTCATTCTAGTTGCAGTTGCAAAAAAAAAAAAGAAAAAAAAAACTTGAAAAAAGGATCTGGTTAAACCAAACCCAAAGACGGAAACTTAAACGAAGCAAAAAGATGGGTTTCAGTTTTTATTAGGTATATAGGATGAGTGGATAAGTGATGATGATATGTGATATACTTGAGTGGAGCATAAACGAAAAGTTGGTGACATCCCATATACTGTGTTGGTGTAATAAAGAAAAATAAAAATAAAAAAAAATTTGATTTATTTTGCAGGCGTCTTTCATGCCGGTTCTTGTTCTAGCAGCAAGGCTGTGTCCTGAAGGGATGGAAGCAACGCTGTTTGCAACCCTGATGTCTGTATCGAATGGTGGTAGTGTTGTTGGGGGTCTTTTTGGTGCGGGTTTAACCCAGGTTTTGGGTATCACCAAGGACCGCTTTGACAGCTTGGCCCTTCTTATAATCATCTGCAACTTCAGCTCCTTGCTACCATTGCCACTCCTACACCTTCTTCCCAATCATAATCCCCTTCCCAATCCCAAACCAAAGGAAGATGTCCCTGTTCAGTTCAAGTCTAGTTGATACTTGATACTCATACTCATCACCCTTCTAACACTACTTATATATATATAAACAGATACAGATCATCATAACAATACTGTAAATATTCTAAGATTCATCAAAATCTTTAATCAACTTTTTTTTTGACTACTTTTATTCTAGCCAAGCCAAATTCTAGGTTGGGAACAATATATTAACTTAGACTCCATAAATTGGTAAATTTTTGCTATTATTATTATCTTGAGAAAAGATGATGGAAACTATAAGAATCATTATTCGCAAAAATATAAATAAGTCGATACCAACAAATCCTTTGAACAAGGATAAAGGGGTAAT